TTGAAGAAATCAATTTGAAAAATGACAGAAACGTCACGCAGCCATCTTCTTAAATCCTTTACGTTTTCTGTAGGAGTTAACATTAAATTTTGGTGATTCCCCGCTGTCCCCATACCCCTAATCCTTTAGTTCCTCCTTTAGGGCCCTACAGTCTGCACGCACGTATGGAAAACGTATCGTGATTCGAAAAATCAGGCATGATATCAAGAATTCAAAAAGTAAATTTTGGACTACACGGGAAAATTCAGGGTGGCATGAAACGTAAGAACGAAATGAAAGATTGGAAATTTCATTGAAAATATTTCACGAAATTTCAGTGGAATATTTCATGAAATTTCACAAGGCTGAAATATTTCATATTTTTCAGGGGCTAGAGTATGCACCCCGCACTCAAACATACATAAATATAAGAAAGTCACAATTTTTACATTTGCGAAACATGGAAAGGAATCTGTATTTTTCAATATCTTTCATAAATTTCATGAAATATTTCACGTGAAATTTCAAGATTTTATTTTTCATGAAATTTTGCCACCCTGGGCAAATTTGACGATGCGTCCTCTTAGGAGGCCACCCTGAAGAAGAGAAAGAATCCAGTGGTGAAGATTCGACGAAATAGTTTTGGAGTTTTTGAGCCTAGCTTGCTCGCCACAGAAGATTTTGTTCCCTCTTCTTCCCCGCGAAGCGATGTGCGATGAGGGAATCGAGCGAAATAAGGAGAGAGAAGTCGAGGCTTCCCCGCCGAATTCGAGCCATCGAGCGAATCCGCGACTTCCAGCGACGACGCGCTGTCTCCTCGGGGAGCAGTGTTGCATGCTTGTCGCGTCGTTGTCACGTCGATCTGACGCCTCAGTGCCCAGTACCGAATCTCGCGATAGACATGCGTTAGAAGTGTTATGGCGCGGTTTTAGGTCACGAAATCGGTCATAAACGATCATTGATGGAGTGGAAGACCTCTTGAACAACGGTGGAACTAAAATTTATCCTAGATGGAGCGTGAAAGGACTTCCATACCCAGATGGTCCGGGAGCAACCCGGGACAATTTTGGAGCCTGTGACAATTTACGAGCAACTCAAGATGTTTTTACGGAAGACAAAAAGTTTGAGATGTAGTACTTTTGAAGTCGACGGAGATGTCACTTAATAATTATTATCTTAAATATCATGGGTGCGGCGGTAGCCACCTCTGGACAAAGTCTAAACTCGACAACACTAGATATACGCCACGCGACGGATTCAAAATCGAATCGTCTTTAGGAGGAGTATTAACAGGGGTGTTGCAAGCTAGGAGGGTCGTAAATATTAGTTCCTTCTTGTAAACGGCGCTGTATGAAGACTGAAAATTATGCTCTCTGACGCTCCGAAAATTGATGGTTGAACAAAATATGAAGGTCAAGTGAAATTACTGAGTATCGCTCGTTAGCCTTAACGAAAATACTTATCGATCTCTACCCTTTACAAATGAGCTTTCAATTAGAAATTTCATTCATCATAGAGAAATGCCGTTCCAACCTTTGAGTATCATTATAAATTCTTCGTATGATCATATTCATGCATCTATTCACCCATTCTCTAATAAATGAAAAAAGGAAAGTTACCTCACTGCCTGATATTTTATTCTAGTATATGTATATTCCGGATAGAGGGAAGAAAGTGGAATGAAAAGTACAAGGTATAGCCTTCATTAGCCCTGTTTTATGAAAAAATCGATTGTGACGAGAAATTTACAATGTCAAAAATTGACTTTGACGTTTTTCCGACTCTACTCATATCATATCAAATGGCTCAATAGATTTGTGCATGTATTTAAACTCGCGATTCTAGTACGCGTACTAGTTTTGTCAAAAACAGTCCGTTCGCACTAATTTTCACAAAACCCAAACAACAAATAACAAAATTAACATCCATGTTTTCAAATTAACATCCTTGTCATAATTTGTCGTGAAAATCAGTGCGTTGAGCGCTCACTCTTTCGCATAAAACCGATTTTTCGAATCGTATATCGGAACTTTTTTCATCATTCTGACCCTCTAAGGTCGGTTATACGAGTCGAACGTTTGGCACTTTAACTGAAAGTTTGATTTGGCGAAGCGAATAGTTGGAGTGACGTAGAATACCACGCACTCCTTCCTTTAGTGGTTACGAAATTTCGACTTCCTGGAAGTCAAAATATTTGTATCATGTGTTTCGCCCCATCCAACTCTTTACTCGTGCGTTAAAGTCTCCGAGTTTTCCGTAAAGAGTTCCCGTTCCCTTCAATTTTTAGATATGCAATGTTACCAGCTCGAAAGTCGAAATGGTTGTATCACGCATTTCATCCCATCCAACTTTTCTACTCTGCGTTCAAATATCTGAGTGTGCAGAAAAGAGATCCAACTCTTTTTCATGCATGGCTGTGGAGTGGTGATCTGCGAGAAGGTTTTATTGCTTCGTAATGGACCATCAGACAAGGTACGAAGTTAAGCATTCTGATACATGTTTCTGAACTAAAATTTTACGTAGAACACGATTTGCGCAACGAAAATCACTGAAATTAACTCCTAATCAATACATTGAATGTTTCTTGACGCGTGAATTCAAACCCCCGCTCTTGAAAACTCATTGGTCTACGTGAGTCAAATCGCTCACTAAAAATTACCATGACACTCTTTGCGATATGAAAATCTGGCAACCTCAATCTCGACGCTTTGGCTCAGCTATAGCAAGTTGTTTCTAGTTTGAACAACACAGGGTGAGAAATGAACAGTGCTGGATTGAGAAGCCTACCGAAACCGTTGTAGTACGCGATTGAACTCACGTTGAGAATTGTGTTTCTTGTGAACGGGCAATTCAAAATCCCCGTCACCAATGTTACCTAAAAACGTTCATATCTTAGATAGGAAATGATTTCTGTAATTTTCGATGCAAGAATCGTATTTTACGTGAAATTCTGGTCAAGAAACATGTATCAGAATCCTTAAATTCGTACCTTGTCTACTGGTCCATTGTGACCGGATCTGTGAAAAGCGGCCTCATCTTGCGAAAGAAGATTTTGGAAACTTAGAACTTAAAGCGATTAACAATCGCTAGAAGCGCATGTAAAACTGCAGGTATACTTCTAGCGTTGCGGCGCGCGCCGTCTTCCCAAGGGAATACTGAGGGCAGCCCGCGTACGCAGCCTTGAGAGGTTTACACCAAAATTGAGCGCATTTTGATGAAAACGTGACAGATTTTATATCATCCATCATTCAGAGTCGTAGCCTACGTAGTTTGCGAACGACCAAGTTGGTTCGTGAACTTCCTGCACCTAGCCTGAACCCTGGCCCTCTCTCCGCCACATTTTTAAATTCATCTTTCTGAAAACTGTTGAGATTGGAGTAAGACCAATCGTGTGTTTATTAAAACAACTATGCTGAAATTCATAACATTCGGTATACAGTTTGCTTTTCTAGGTGTGGTCGGCGTTAGTCGTCGTCGTCCTCTCTGTAATGTAACTGTATCTTTTCAATACAACGTGCTTCATGCTTTTATCCTCGGAGTTTGTTTCTTGTATGTTTATCCCGTAAATCAAAGAAAACTGGTTTTGGTCAATGTAAACAGTTGGTCAATTTGGTCAATTTAATTTGGTTTTGGTCGGCCTCCTGTGGTGTAGTGGTTGTAGCGCTAGCTCTATGTTCGGGAGGTCCCGGGTTCGATTCTCGACCAGGCGACCCGAGTTTGATGGTCTCAAACAATGGTTCTCTGGGACTGGTTGTTCAGTAGGGACGGAGGGGGGCTGGGACTAAAAAGCGCGGGATTAGCCCTTGGGGCTACTTGGAGTGGTAAAAAAAAAAAAAAAAAAAAAAAAAAAAAAAGGTTGTTGAACTTCTTACCATTTTATTTCGGAGTTCTCTTCCACCTCCCTCAAGCAAGGTTTTGCTCTTCTCGACAATTTTCGCCCCCTCCCCCTCCTCCAATAAGATTCTCCTGAAATAAGACCCCCTGATTATTTTAACTCCGGTGTTGGAAAGCCTGCTACGTTTGATCGTGTCCATCATTCTGTTCGTGATTTCGATATTAACAACCTCTTTTTGTTATTTTGATGCAAAATATAAATACATGAACAAATGAAAAAAGAAATAAAAAGTAACAAGAAGTCAAATCTAAAACTGAAAATAAAAGTTGAAGTGTTTGTGAGATCAACGTAGAAAAGACAGATAAATTCCGAGGAAAGAAGTGACATGACTGACCGTACAGATTTAAAATTGGATTGAGTATTTTTATAGAACTCAGAAAAGGGTTGAAGATTTTTTCTGGCATTAAGGCATTATTTCAACAAAAAACGTGAAAAAAATGTAAAAGCAAATACAAAGAACCCCGTAATCAAGAGATATAGTCTCTTGTTTTATTCAATTTTATGGAGTCATCCATCACCTTTTCAAAAGTAAGAAATTCGTATCCATGCAACATCCTAAAACAATGATAAATCACGGTAGTGATAGGTCCTAAAGAATGTTGCGGTAAATAGTAGGAATATCCATAGAAAGGATGAGAATGCTTGACCTCTGCCTCGGCGGACGCTTTTCTCTATCGAAATAAATCACCATAATTTAATCGTACCAAGTAACCTGTCCAATAGCCTCTACCGCTTGATCATTAGATATCTGCGGGGCTTTACGAAAAGAGCGCAAAATTGAATTTGGCGCCTCGATTTCAAAACTAATAGTTTGTACTGGCCAATCAGAACACGCCTCTCTTTACCGCGCGCGTAGCGCCCGCCTTTTTTACTGAATGTTGCCAAAGTGCAAGAGTAAATATTGTTTAGATTTTTACCTGGTTGTCAATGTCACTTATATGGTCATATTTTACATACTAAAGTGAAAAATCGTGGTCAGGATCGTATTTGTAACCATTATTTCCCAATTTTGAACTTCACGGAGCCATATAGATATGTGTGTAAATCAGCAACACATTTTACAACAATGCGGTACTTCAGCTGTTGTTTTTATTGATAACGAGTTTTAGGTTATGTCATTTGTTTACGGTCAATCGGCCTTTATCAGTTAGCCGTCAGCCTTTTTCGGTTTGTGTGTGGTGCTGTTGTGTGGTCCGTTAGATAAAGGCAAAGACCCGTGACTATTCTCTGGACACGCGCTCTTTTATTTCAATCGTTTGTGCCACAAATTTTTGGTGCACCTTAATTATTATCATGTCGAACGAAGAGTATAAAGGCTACCGATCTGCCCTCTCCACCAGATATGCATCTAAAGAGATGCAGTTTAATTTTAGTGATTTTAAAAAGTTCACCACGTGGCGTCGGCTGTGGGTCTATTTGGCTGAAGCTGAGAAGGTAGGATTTTTGTCAAAAATTTATCTCTTGGTCTGTTACCCGTTACGTTTCGTTCCGGATTGATACTTTATTGTCATGGCTACAACCTCTGTAAGTTACCAACCTTATGTGGCGTTATAAATCTGACTGGCTGCTATTTAGATTTCACCTTCTATTTGCAAATTTCACAATTAGCAAAATGCACAAATTGGAAGTAGCAGAAATTTCCAGTAGCTTAGATCGTAAGCCAAAGAAATGTTCAGCCGCAGGTCTCAAGAGAACCCTCAAACGATGACTCACCTAAACTAGGTGAGAATTCATAATTGCCAAAGAAATGATATACTCTTAGCTTGGTTCATAATTTCTGTTCTCTTGTGTTCAAAATGAATTCTATCTGATTTTCAATGAAGTGCTAGCAGTCAGCGCCACCATGTAGAATTTGATAAGCGTAATCACAAGAAACATAGGTCATGGATTAGAGAGGCCTCTGTAGAACATAGTAGGAAGTAGGGCAAGTAATAATTCTGTCTCATCAATTTTCTGCATAGTCATATCACTTGGAGATTTCATTGCCCCATGGCTAGAATTAAACCTTGAAATGAGACAGACATTGTCGAAATTTTTAGGTTGAGGTCAAAGCTACTTTTGGTGATATAGTCACATAAAATTGACATGTTCAGCATCATCTCCGCATTTTTCATTGCTGCATACAATGGAGTGAGGCTCTATCACTGGAAGTAACTTTGAAATTGAGCTAAAACTTTACCCCTGGCCAACTTCAGCATAATGACGGCATAAGTCCACAACCACGTATCTCGTTTGCGGTGTTTGAAAATCTCTGCCTTGATATTATTTTTTTAATGGAGAACCAATTGACATCATTTTTTGAAGGTTTTGCAGAATTTTCTCGGCACAGAAGAAAAATCCAGGCAGTTTTAAAGAATTACCTTTGATTAGTTTTCCGTTTAAAAAATAAAGTATGACAGGAAGTCTGCGAAGTTGCGAACCGGGATACGTGGTTGTAGACTTACACCATTGATAAGGTTTTATTTCACTTGCAAGTCAATAAATTTCTAAGATCGGCAGAGAAAGGTCATGAAAAACCCTTCTCTTGGGGCGGTTCTTTTCATCTGATTGGAAAATTTTTGTCTTCTCATCGCACGATAATTCAGATTTCCGGAAATCGTTTTCAGAGATTCGGCAGTCGTAAAATAAAGTTACTAATAATTGTGGTGCCAAGTGTCAATCAATTTATCTCTCACTTTAATCGCACAGTTCTTAAGGCAGTGGATATTATTGCTCTATTCTTAAAGATACCTCGTAAAGATGTTTTGAGGATTTTTGGATAGTCTCCTAAGATTATCATATCTGTCTTAAATATTCTGGATCTTATGTGATGTCGCCAAGGAGGATTACAGTCTCATCATTATCACAGCACAGATGAAACCATCGGAAAACATGTCACCTCACACAAAATTATGTCTGGGTAAGTTTTCATGACTGTTATGAGTGTCACTGGTTTTGCATTGATCTTAGCACCCCCTGCAATTTCTTTTCTTCCCATCCCTTCCAACTTGATTATTTCATCTCCAGTTATTTAGCTAACAGCACCTGTTTTCTAACTCTTAAATCATGAGCTAATTGCATCTAATTTTCCTTCGGATGAACCTGATAAAGTAACCTCTCTCCGCATCTGCACTTTGTTCTATTATGGTGACAGTATTTTTGTACAGATTCGCCTTTTAAGAAGGTATTTCGTTCTTAATAACAATTTTTTTACGTCGCCTGATGCTCAGTAACTCCCAGCCTATATTATTACTGGAAAAACAGAGGGAAGATGAAGTATATGAAAGTAAGTGCTCTGCGCGTGAGCGTTGGTATGCCCTCTCACATGAGGAGTGTCAGCATTATGCAGTCTTATCTCGTTTTTAGATGAAACTGCTGTTTAGTTGACAGTGCGCCTTCAATTTGGCGGGATACTACTTTGCATACTGCGAGCTTTTAAGAAGGACACCGCAGGAATAACGATCAGTTTCGTTTTTATCGATTCAAAAATCCAAATTCACCTTCGTGGGATTTATTCAAATGGCGCCTCATGTCGTTTTTGTGCTTTCCGCTACGTTTTCGAATTTATTAAGTTTAAAAATGTGTATTTTGTGTGGGTTTTCTGTATAAATGAATCGATGAATGTTGCCGCAACTTCTTTTCTTTTTTTTTTATGTATCATCGATAGTTTTTGAAATGTCCCCCTATCCGAATCTGCGATTTTCTGCTCTGTTGTTATGAGTTCGTGCTCCAACTTTCGGGTAAGGGTCAAACTTCGGTTAGGTGGGCGTACCTAAAATTTGTCCATGTACTCATTTACTTTTAAAGGATTGTTGTAAACTCATTTAATTTAAACACGCCCATGGACGAATTTATAAATAGGCCGTCGAGACCGCCGTCAATGGCAGCAAATTTTGCGCCGGAAAGGCGGCGCAGCGACGTAGCGATTCAATCCAAAAGTATCAGGTGAAAGATGTTATACAGTCCGGAAATCTGCATGTAAAAGTGTTCTGGCACAATACTTGCGGAATGATCCGACAAACCCCCCCGGTGTAAGAGGCGGAAAAATATTGACGGCTCAGGGGTGGCAATGGAGCTCTTGCAAATGCCTGCGATTTTGGTACAAATTCCTGTGTAAAATTTCGCGAGAAACACGATGGTGCCATTGGCCATCTCTGAACTCAACTCCAAAGCTCAAAAAAAGCTCTCAAAGTTGAGAGCTTTTTTTAATATTGACCTGTACTGAAATCGCAAATTCCTGACACATACAAGAGCTCCAATACCAAAATTCGGTCATGAACACACCCTATATTTTGGCTGCGATGCTCTTGCAGTGGTGGTTGCAGGGAACCCCTCTATCACAAATTCTGCGCTAAACTCTTTTCGTGTCGAAAAATTACTGGGACTCTTAAATAACAAGAACCTCTCGTCTTTTGTACGTCATATGTCATCATTGAAATCGTTAGATTTTTCCTTTTTATGGAATACGGAAAGAGTATGACCTTTTTGCTTACGGCTTCCTGAATTTCCTTCGTCATTGCATGCGGCATGCCTATAGTGCCTGTACCTCTACGACTTACAATTCAACTAGCCCGCGCTTATTTTAAACCGGCTGACAGGAAAACTGAACAGCACGCATCAATTGTCTCGTAGCATTCCCCTATCTAGTTGCTTAGTCCCCCTGCTATTTTTCTTCACGATTTTGATACTTCGTGACGACGCTTGAAAACTGACAAATAACTGCGCGGCGATTATCAATATTGCGGCAAACCGCTTATCACTCCTCTCCTGACCTATTATTGTCTCCTTCACATAAGCATGTTTTCTTCGACTACCACGCAAGCGTGAGCAAAATGAACAGAGATGTATATCGTGACGTCACATATTATCAACGTATGAAGTTTTGTTGTCTATTTAATGAAGTAGATCTAGTTGCGTCTGTCTGCTTAACCAACTAAGAGATTATTATTTGCATTCTGTAGCTCTCACAATTCTCTTCTATTAATTTTAAGTTTTGAATTCAAGTCCGCAAATATGGTTCGAATTGGTCTCCGAAGTCAATATTCCCCGGGGCTGATAACCTTTCCCACGAAATTTTCTTTTTCACCGGCTCCTGGGTAGCTTTTTTCAGACGAAAAGTATTCGAACGCACCTGCCGTGGGATTGCATACTCTTATTTTGAAGGCGAATCGTGTGGGCACGTTAGTAATGAAATATCCGCTGGAGTCGATTTGTTCCCCTGAGATGAGGCCCCGCGCCATGAAGCCTTAATTTATGTAGTATCCATAGATTCTTATTTTATAACACTTTACGGTCCAGGCGGCTTTAATTACCTACCTGCATTTTACAAATTACAATGGTGTAAATTAAAAGCACCTCCTGCTTTTTTAAATCCTCTAGAAGACACTGCGGTTAAGGCTCTCATTTTAATGCATTTGAATTTCGTTTTGTTTTTGTTGGTTTGTTTTTTTGCCTCTGTAAATAAGCATGTACTTTATTTTAATTATTCTTTTTTCTATCTTATAATGCACTTTGATTTCTGCGGCAAAATGCTCTTCAACGTTACGAATTCTGTATAAAAAATGTTTTCCTCGAAAACTATCAATTGTAATATTATTTTTTTTTTTTTTTCAGAATATTCTCTAGAAATTATATACGTAATAACTTTCCTTGAGTGAGGTAGAACCACTCCAACCTGAGACTTAAAGGTTTTCATTTTAATGGCTCAGTGTTGAAGTATACCTGTCTCCGAGTGTGTTGAAGTCATTTTCGAGGATCGACCACTATTTTCGCCTGTTGATGACTAAAAGAGTCATTTTGACTCGTTAAGCAGTCTGTTCCTCCAAATGCCCTACAAATTACCCATTGACTATCATCAGGCGAAATGTAGTGTTGATCACCGACATCGACTTCTGCCTCACTCCTTTACATCGATAGCGGTTGTGGGGCCCAAATAATGGTTGGCGGATTTAACCAAAATCGACCTAACTACATTTCATATCGCATGAATTCTTATTAGCATTTATCTAGTCAATAGAATACTCATTATTGTAAAGTAAGCCTCGGAAATTTTTTTTGGATGTTCCATTTCTTCTTAGAATATTCTATTAAAATTTTAAGTCAGAGTTTTGCTGAGTTTTCCGATACAAAATCAAACATGAGAGGAAATTTAACGTCGTTTGATGTAGTTAAGAAGATTTAGGTTGAATCCGTCTATTTTTTCTTTGGCCTCAACGAAACTTATTTCTAGTACCCATCTGAATGTTGAGAAACGGAAGAGTCAAGGTTTTAATCCGTATCACTAGGTTTTTTCCCCCGCCGTATGGTTTTTCCCTCAGTGTTTAATTTCATGTTTTCTAATTACAGTGGAACAAGCACATAAGCCTTTACAACAAAGACACGAAGAGGAACTCTGGCCACAATAATCATCACTCATCGACGGCGTCGAGAAACAACTCAAACTCCACATTCCCGCC